ATATGACTTTGCACTGTGTACTATTGAATTTCATCCCATTTCAGTCACTCCAGTCTTCAAGGCCATCCAGATTTTCCTGTGTAAAATTCCAATCCTCCTCTGCATTGACTATGCCTCCCAACTTCATATCATCAGCAAATTTAATTAGCGCGCTCCTGCTTTTGGTGCCAAGGTCATTAATACAAATATTGACTAAGAACAGTCCCAAGACCAACCCTCGAAGAATTCTCTGCAGTCTGATAAGTCACCTTTCAGCACAATCCCTTGCACTTCTCCCCTTTAGCCAATTCCTTAGTCACTTTACAATGTTTGTGCTGATCTCCATCTTCCCTAATTTGACTAATAATTTCCCATGTGTTACCATGTCAAATGTTTTACTGAAGTCCAAAAACATTAGATCTACTGCACTTCCCTTATCAAAAAAAATCAGTTCTTTTCTCAAAGAAGGAAATCAGGTTACTGCAGCATGATCTACCTTTGGTAAACCCACATTGCATTACTTTCCCTTTACCTCCATGAATTTAAATTATTCTTTTCTTCACAATTTGCTCTAAAGCCTAGCATTCTACTGAGGTCAGACTAACAGGTCTGTAATTGTTCGGATCACTTTTTTACTCTCTCTTAAATATAGGTATGATGTCAGCTAGTCTCCAGTCATATGGTACTATCCATGAATAGATAGAGGTATTAATCCTTGTTACTGGACTAGCAATCATGTGCTGGTTCTTTCAGGATTCTGGGATGGAATTATCTGATCCCCAAAATTTGAGATTTAAGTTTTTCTTCCACCTCTGATGTGGCAATTTCCATTTCTATATACTCATTTCTATCACTCACAGTGTATTCATGCGCATGTTCCATATTACCATTGTTACTGAAATCTGAGGGAAAGTATTCATTTCGTTTTTGGGCCATATCTAGATTATCTTTAATCTCCTTCCTATCCCTCTGAATAGCACCTGAACCTCATGCTTCCTTACTCTCTTTTTACCTATTATTTAATTTTTTTGGCAAGAGCTAAGTCAGCCTGACTTTTAGTAATTCTCACTTTATTCCTACATTTTCTAACCTCCACAACGTAGCTTTCTTTGCTGATCAGCCCCTTTTTCCATTCCATATAGGTTCTCTGCTTATGCCTAACAACCTTTTTGAGGTGGTTATTCATCCAGCTGGGTTTGGAGTCTATCCATACAAGATTTTTCCCCCTTTCTCCGGATGCAAATTTCAGATAGTTTTTGTAAAACTAATTTGAAGAAATTTTAAGCTTCCTGTACATTTAAGTCCTTGAGTTCTTCAGTCCAGCTGACTTATTTAACTAATTCTCTTAAGTTCCCAAAGGCTTCCCTTTAGAAATCAAAAACCACAGTTGATGACCTGATTTTGATTATCCTTACATTTAATTTAAACTGAATCAACTTGTGATCACTCAATCCAAGGTTATTTCCTATAAGCAACTCTTCTGTGATGTCCTCACTACTTACTAAAATCAAGTCTAAAATTGCATCACCTCTTGTTGGTTCAGTGACAATTTGATGAAGAAAACTGTCATCTACCATAACCAAGAAGAAATGGGCCCCACTGGTATTAGCAGCATTTATTTTCCAATCTATATCTTGGAAGTTAAAGTCTTCTATTATGACAATTCCCAAAAATATTTCTCTCTCTAATAATATTAAAGAGATCACTATCCATAATGGAGACTGACCCTGGAGATCTATAGCAGGCCCCTAAAACCATCCCAACAGAACCTCCTTTACAATCCTTCCACAAAATACCTGTATTCCTCCAGTAATGAGTGCTATTCCATCTGTAATTACTATAATATCTGGTTTGACCTATTGCACCAGTAGTTCCAGTTCCTCCATTTTATTGCCCAGACTCCTTGCATTTGTGTACAAGCATTTCAGTTTCACTCAGGCCTCCCAGTTTTCTAGCTTGTTGTGTTCCATTATTCCTTATTGTATCTTCATTTAGTTGACTTTCCTTCTGCTGTGTATTGAAGTCAGGCGTGAAGATTTCACGAGTCTCTCCCAATCTTCTCCCTTCATCTCCTAGTTTAAAGCTCTTCTTTTATCAGCCATGTCAGCATGGATCCCAGAAGGATAACACTCCAAGTGTTCAAGTGGAGTCCATCAGTTGAGAAGATTCTTCTTTTTGTGGATGCCTCCCAATGGTCGATCATCCTCCAAACCTTCCTCATAGCACCAATCCTTGAGCCACTTGTTCATCTTCATTATCTTGTCATGCCTTTGCCCTCCTTCTCTAGGGACCTGAAGTATTTCACTGAAAATCACCTGAGCTTCCACTTCTTTAAGCATCTTACCCAGCCAAATGCAGTCGTTCTTGATCCATTCCAGTGGGAATCTAGTAGTGTCGTTCATCTCAACATGCAGCACAATCAGTGGATTTTTTTCTTGCACCCATCAGGATCTTCGTCAGCCTCACATCCACATCTCGTATCTTTGATTCTGGCAGACAGCACACTCTTCTGTTCTCTGGAACTGATCTGGTGAGTATCGAGTCCCCAGTCACACAGACCTGTCTCTTGCTGGTGTTGGTATGAATCTGTTTTATGTTCTCTCTAGCAGTCCCTTGTACATCAACTTCATTCTTCCTCAGGCTATCTCCACCATCTCTTCCTCTCTTCTGCAGGGACTGGCTTCCCTTTGTTTCTTTCTCGCACCTCATCTTCTGTCTGTCTCTCCTCTTCATTTCCCAGTGCTGCAAACCTATTACTCAACTCAATTTCAGCACCCCTAGTTGGTCTTTTCTTCTGCCTTGTCCTCATGGTCATATTCTTCCATGGATCATGCTCCTCTCCTGGCAGTCCCCCCCTCTATCTCCTTTTGTTCAGGAGGTGTCCATAAATCTTGAGTTGTCTGTACCACCTCCTCTCTCCTTTCCTGCATTATTTCTTCAAATACCCATCTGAATTCCATTGTCTCAAGCTGCATCTCTAATCCTTGAATCTTTGCTGCTATGAGCTCTATCAGGTGACATTTCATGCATAAGTAGCTTCCATCAGATACCCTCTCAAGGATGATGTATAACCCACAGCTTCTGCATCCAACCATCTTCTTTCTGTCCTCTCCTCCTCTGATCATTTCTAGTGTGTCTTAATAGCTATCATTGTCTTCTTTTTCAAGACCCTATAACTAGAAAAAAAGAAAAAGAAAAACTCCCCACCCAAACTCTCACTTACAAACTCCTACAGAAACTCTGCTGTTAGCTGCTGGCTGTTCACTGCTCCAATGTTCACTAATAACTGGCTTTTAAACCTAGCCAAACTAAGTCAGGCCCACCTGCTCATTAAGGGACATCAGGAAGCTCTGAGTCAAACTGAAGTTATTGAAAATATTTCTTCTGTGAAAACAGATTAATCTTGTAATGCTATTAACTCTCTTCCAATGCTGTTCATCTGGAGTCTTGAGTCTTTGTTTCACCATTGAACTTTGACAGGATGGAAAAGGTCACCTAAATTCTAATTATTTTAGTTAAAATTGACCCCAGGACAGAGGAACAAGCACCACTAACATCCCATAAAATGGGATTGAAGAGATGTGCAGATCTTGGGATAGCCTCTGCATTGGGGCAAATTTCATACTCTCTAGACTAGTAGAAACAAACTAACGTTCAACTCAGTGGCCTTCATTTGAGTGTGCACTTTCTCTTATTACTTGGGACACCATAAACTAGTGGAGATGTAAGAAATCATCATCACTTTTGGTAAAACAGGTCAAGAATAATGGATCAATGCGATTGTGTCTTATTTTACCTTCTGCTGTGTTAACTGGAATGTACTAAAACTCACTGAAAAAAGAACCCCAACAAATTTGTATTTAATGACGTTTTGCAAAACTCATCCAAATCAGGGAAAACTAAAAGCCTTTTCTAAAGGGCTGCCACTGCAAATCTTTGACGTATTACCCACTTCTGTGCAAGAATCAGTGTCAAACACATGGGGTAAAATTCTGACCCCATTCAAGATAATGGCAAGATTCCCATTGACTTCAGTGGCACCAGGATTTTCCCCCCATGAATCCTATTGGGAAAAATTCATCCTGTAAAGTTAATTTATAATCAGGAATATCTGTATTACCAGATGAAGGAGCATTGATAGAGAACTGCATTATATGATCAATATATTATGGGATTTTGAAGGTTTGGGGAGGTTTCTTTAGAGGCAATTGTAAGTGGGATAGATATCGAAATAAATTATTTACCAAGGCAAGGAAAGATTTACAAAATGTTTCCAGTTGTAATTCAAAGTGCTAAATTCCTAAAATTTAGGAGCAGTGAGAATCTAGGGAACCCTATTAAAATATTTATGGTGGTTGTTGATCTCGTATTCCTTTTAACAATGGCAACTGCCATAAATTGAGTGATGCTGTTGTGGTTGTGGAATTCTGTGACTGGCAAGTATGTATGGGATAGGAAGCAGGGCATTGTCTATCTTTCATTTTAGTCTACATCATCTTCCCCTATAACTAGAGCATGTTAACAATATGCTTAAAAAAATCAGTATAAAAAAAAATCATACTTTCAAAGTTGTTTCTGTTTCACATGGTTCAAAATAGACCTGTTTGTTTTGGAAATTTTTCAAAAATTTTGATTAAAAAAATGCATATCAAAAGCATTTTTGAAACATTATTGAAATTTTTCATTTACTATAAACCAATTTTGATAATTATTTAGGTAACAATTTCAGCTAAAACTGGTAATATTTTAATAAAAACATTGCAAAAAAATTCACAAAAACAAAAATAATCGTAAAAGTCAATTTTTGCATTTTGTGTCTTAAAAACAGCTTTTTTTCCTATAAAAAAATTTCCATTTGAAAAATTCCAAACAGCTCTATCTATGATATTATGAAAGCATTGTAATGTATTTGACATACAGTACCAGAAATTAAGCTCATGGGATTTTCAGGATAATACTCAGTTATAGATTTAAAAATGTGTACTATACATTCAATATTCCAGCAGGTGGTGTCCTCTTACCTTCTCTAACTGTTCCATGCAAGCATTGTGGACCACAATCTTGCAGGCAGCACACTTCCGTCGGAGAGCCGATTTCTACAACATTTAAGAACAGTGTGGGTGAGAGTGTATGGAATGAGGGGAAATCATTTATAGAAGCAAAACCATTTATCAGAAGCCAGACAGCTTCTCTTTCCCTCATCTTATCCAACAGGTCTTCTGGATTGTCTTCAAAACCTGATTGAGCTATATGTTGAAAAATGGCTTATAGTTGAATAGTCAAGAATAAAGGCATAAACAGGGTAATAAGGTGGAACATGGGACATATGGCATGGGCATGTGGATGGAAAACAAGAACTAAAGGCATTTTTAAAATAGTAAATAAAGCTACTGATGACATTTTGAATAAGACTTCCTTATCAGGAACAGTCTGAAATGGAAAAGGGCATAGCTAGTGAAGAGACAAGGAAACATACACGGTTTACTGAGAGTTTCAGTAATGACTCAAGCCAAACTGGGGGAAAAGTTCCTCCTCTACTGTTCCTATTAAGCACTGAATTTGATGGGGCATCTCTCTGACCAATGCCTTGCAGAAAAATCCTGTGTAATTTATTAGAGAATGATAATCGTCCTGCAGAATTTTGTTAACCAACCTATAAAATGTTATAGCAGGAACATAAATTCTCTATTAAATTCTTTAGGGTGGTTTTACAATTCTGTACAAAAGAAATCATCTTCTGTTAATAGGTTTTTACAGCAATTTCCATAGAATCCTACTGGTCAAATTCCTATTAAAATGAACACTAGGTGTCCATTAAGGACAGAAAGCCTTTACCATAAACTTAATTCTTTCTTGTTCTTGCACATACTTAATCGTTCTAATGAGTCTCGCAAAAGACATTTTTACAGAAACATTTCTGATTGAAAGACAGAAAGATTATCAACACAATAAATTAAGGCTGATTTGATTGAAACTTTGCAGTCATTTTTATCATAGTCATTAAGAGCTTGTAATTAATGTTTTCTTTATAATTTTCAATATGTTATTAGCTAGATTTTGGAAGCAACAGCCCTCTTGTAGCTAACGTAACACTAGTAAATTTGCAGTATTGTCAAATCATGATTTTTCTTCGTAAGTCTCTCATTTTTTGGTGTTTTTCTTAAAACGCCAACTGATAGAATTATGACATAGCATAAGAATCTCAGCTTTTCATAAAAAGTAAGTTTCTTAGTCCTCATGATTGCAGAGAAAAGCTTGAAAACATGGAACACACGTACCCTAACAGCTTAAAGACCAGAAGCAAAATAAAAAGAACCAAACATTTTTTTTTAAAAGCATCATGATTTGTAAACCAATCTCATGATTTTGGGCATTGGACTCATGATTTTTGAATGTTGGGGCTTGCAGTACTGATTCCAAGCATTAGTAAGGAAAGACTGGTGGATAAATCAGACTTTGAGTCTTTTCCATCCCATGTACTATTTATCATAAAGTGTCAGCTCCAAAGGGTGAGAGTTCATATCCTGCTAAGGCCTTATGTTTATTAAAATTTCTATGCATTTTTCCATAAATGCAATTATAGATTAATTATTTCATACCACTTTTCCATTAAAAAAAGATATCTGATCTAAAAATATTTTATATGTAAAAAGCAAAGTATCAGAAAGGCCAGTGCAGCCATAGAAAGATGTAGTATTTCTAAAAAGATTCACATTGGAAAACCATTAGCCATTTAATTGATCAAGATAAGCAAAAACATAATTAGAGTTAACTAGATTCTCCCCATCTACAGTTCACATACCCACACCAGAAAGCAGCACAAGTGCTACTTTGTGTTACACTACTAGATTCCCCGCAACCAACAAAACCTTAAAACAGAAAAGAATTTCAGTCAAGAAAAGGCCAGGCAATTAAAAATTGTCAGTTCTCACATATGACTCCACATCTGTGGGCCTGTTGGCTGCCTTCAATCAACTAAGATTCCCACCAGCCAGAGATGGACTAGGGTTTGTGGGGGGGGCCCTAGGCCAGAGCAAGTGGGGGTCCCTCCCCACCCCTTCCACCTGCAGTCCCCCTCTTCTCCCCCCGGTGCTCCTGCTGGGGAGCGGGGTCGGGGTTCGGGGGCTTGCCCTGCTCCATCCACCCAGCGCTCATGCCAGGGAGTGGGGTCAGGGTAGGGGGGGCTTGCCCCGCTCTGCCCGCATTGCACTCTTGCCAGGGGGAGAAGGGTTGGGGCATGGGGGCTCCCAGCAGGAGCATTGGGCAGAGCGGGGCAAACCCACGTGCTCCGACCCAGCTCCCTGGCAGGAGTACCAGGTGGGTGGGCAGAGCAGGTTGGGGCATGGGGTCACCCATTTTTCCAGGGGCCCCCAATTGGACAGGGCCCCTGGGCATGGGCCCCGTTGGCCCAGTGGCTAATCCACCACTGCCACCAGCATTTCCAAAATGGTCCTGATTCACCACGGTTACTGCAGTTTTATTCCAGGGTAACAGCACTGATTTCAGTAGAGATGTCTCCTCATCAAACTGTAATAACACAGTAGTGAATTAGGCACAGTATACTTTTAAGGGTCTATACTACTTGCTACAGGCAAAATTCTCAGGGGTCTTAAGCTCAGTTCTTATTCAGGCAAACTTCTACTGACATCACTGGGAGCTTGCCCAAATTAGGACTCAGTAAACACCTCAGATTTCATACTATTAGTAGAAATAGTACAATTTTGAGAGGTTTTTAAAATTTTGTTTAAATAAAGAATTTGACCAATAGTTTTGATTCTTTCTTTCTATCTATCTGCTATAGCAAGGCACCACCAGTCACACTAGGAAATGCAAGTTCCCAAGCTTCTGAAGTAGTCTCTTCAACCAAAACTGGATTCATTGCCCTACAAACAGATAAGAAAGTCTGAAACTGTTATACTCACTGCAAATTTGACTTGGCAACTGTCCTCCCCCAGGTAACACAGGTCCCCAGAGACATTGGTCTCCAGCCACAGGTGCTCTCCATTCACTGCATTCTCCTGAGAAGAGATGATTGTTAAATTGGCTGAGGTGAGTACAGTATGTTAAAGAATTTGAACGCTAGCTTAAATTAAAAACGACGATGATTAACTCATCATCGCTTGTGATCTAAGCCACAAGTTTAGTGGTCTCATCCTAGAACCAGTCAGATACTTTTTCACAACACAAAACCATCACACTGTGTGTCATAATTGGCCATCCCTTTCACAAGAAGCCTGTTGTAGAATGATAGGGGTGCCGTTGGTCAGGACCGATGTTTATTGACAGAGCTGTTTGGAGGAACTTTGCCTAGCACCTGCCCACACTATGCCTAGGTTAAGCAGTACTATCAGTTCCTCACTTTCATCAGTATGAAATTTACCACTATATTTAAAATAAAAATTAACATAAAAGAAGCAAAAGACAATGTTATTGATTGTATTGATTGCAGACTAAAGAACCAGACCAGGAAGTGGAAATTACCATATCCAATGTAACTACAGGGGTATTTAGATAGGAGCTCTGAACAAATCATTTCTACCTGAGTACATACCACCACTCTCATGAAAAATGCCATTGGAATGTTAATGGCCAGAAGTAAGGACCTTGGGTTTACATCTGAAGAATGCCACCTCCTGCTGGTTAACGCTCTCAAAATCAAGCTGGTGTATTGGTGATCCAGCCGTGATTCAGGGAGAAGTGAATCATAGAATTGTAGACATGTAGGGCTGGAAGGGACCTCGATAGGTCATCTAATCCAGCCCCCTCTGCTGAGGCAGGACCGAATAAACCTAAACCTGTCTAACCTGTTCTTAAAAACTTCCAGTGATGGGGATTCCACAACCTCCTTTGGAAGTCTATTCCAGTATTTAACTATCCTTATAGTTAGCTTTTCCTAATATCTAACCTACATTTCCCTTGCTGCAGATGAAGACCATTATCTACCCTTAGTGGACACTGAGAGCAAGTGATCAACATCCTCTTTATAACAGTCCTGAACATATTTGAAGACTTATCTGGTTCCTCCCCCGTCCCCACCCCCGCCTTAGTTTTCTTTTCTCAAGACCAACATACCCAGTTTTGAGAAAAGAAGACTGGTAACAATCTTCATATCTGTTAAAGGCTGTTATAAAGAGGACTACGATCAACTGTTGTCCGTGAATGAATCACCCAGAACACTTACTGAGCTTTCCTGAGAAGCCCACATCTATTTATCAAGCCCAGCCCTCCTTACTTCATGAAATCGGACAAAATCTCAGCCTGAGGAGATCTGGCTACAGAAAGATTCCAGTTTCCATCCTAATGTGATACTAGCTTAATAGCAAAAATAAAATGGTGTACATGCAATATTTGAGCAAAGTGAATAAGCAAGAATCTTGCTTTATTAGAATTAAAGTACAATGGAAAATGCTTTGCCAGTCTCTGGCATTTGGTTCCCACACTGCAGAAGTCATAAATGATGTTGCTTTCCAAGCAGATGGTGTCCGACAGCAGGATGCTTCCAGCCATTTGGGTCAAAATCCTTTATTTTAAATAGCACTGACAGTTTTCAACATGATGAGACAAAAGTTACTTCTCTCTCACATAAGGATATTTCAGGTAAGGCTTTTTAATAGGGAAATGTAGCAGGCATAGTTTCTTTGAGTTCTGCAATAGAAATGCATTCCCAATAACTAGATCAATATTAACTAGCATTTAAAAATTGCAAGTAGATAATTGGTATCTGTCAGAACCATGGTGCCACTTTACAAGAAGTCATCAGGTCACAATCCAGAAAGGACAGTGAGGGAAAGGAAAATAAGGTATTTTTACAGTGACAGATCTGCATGTCCATATTTCACTGTATAAACCAGAAATAAGCAGCCTAAGAGTGACCCAAAAACTCCTCCAAATGATGTCAAACTTGATATTGTCCCTAATAGGGGACTGAATTAGGACTCGGGTTCTATTCTTGACTCTGTCATTGACCTGCTGTTTGACCTTGGGCAAGTCGCTTCCCCTCCCTGTGCCTCTGTTTCCCCTCCCACCTTTTGTCTGTCTCATCCATGTAAATTGTAAGCTCTTTGAGGCTTGAATTATATGTATGTACAGCGCCTAGCACAACAGGGCCCCAACCTTAGTTAAGGCATCTAAGTGCTATAATGCAAATAATAATAATAATAATGATGACTTTTTAAGACTTGAGCTCACTTAGGAACAAATCATGCTTTCCTTACTCATATACGCAATTTTACTGAATCCATCCATTTTTTCTCCAAATTCATCCTCACAATAAAGCTGTAGTCTACAGGGAAAATGGTAGCCAGAAGTATCAAACAGGTTTTTATAGTACATCAGGGGAAAACAGTCATTTGAAAGCCCAGTCACTTCATTCTAGTGCAGATAACTGTACCTCCCCATCATGCAATGCCTGAAATTCTAATTTCTTGCTCAGTTTAGGGGGTGCTAAATTTAATAGTGGGACAAAGAAGCAGATGAGTCTTCCACTGTCCTAAGCTGTTTGAGTGGGACACAAGACAGTGTTCAAGTAGGACACCTTCCCTGTTAAAATAACCAGTGGTTAACAACATATAATGGCTCATAATATTAGCTAGTGCTAAATCATGTAGATTATAAAGGAAGTCTGTTCGGACCATCAGTTTGGGAAGTTAAGCAAGAAAGCACACAGATCCAAAGTCCTGATTTTTAATCAGGAACCAAAATTCCCTAAAAAGAAACAGAACAGATTAAAGGTCCCTCCATTCACGTCATGTTTCTCCATGACTTTCCATTCAAGGTTTCTAAAGATAAAGTGGCCTATTTTCATAACCCAGTTTAGATCAAATTAGATTTTTTTCTCTGTTGTTCCTGAAGGGGTCATATATTCATAGGGCCTGGTTTTCTATCAGAAGTTTGAATAAAACAAATCTGTACTCTGCTACACTTTCTGGCCTGTGTTACGCAGGTCAGATTAGATGATCACTGTGGCACCTTCTGGCCTTAATATTTATGGGCCAGATTCTCTGTGACCCTGCACCTAGTCATTTACACCAGTACAAAAAATGGGCATAAAATTTTACCATTCCCATCTCTTGGCATTTACACCCATTTTGCACTCACTTTCCTCTGATGTAAATGACTCCAGGATAGAACTGGTCAAAACTTGGAATTTCCATTCTGAGGAAAATTCTGACATTTGAATATTTCCTTCAGTCACAAATCAAAATGAAAAAAATGTCATGGTGTAAATATTGTATCATCTTATCAAAAGGCTTTGGCCCAAAAAGGTTGAAGCCCTTTGGCTTCATAGTTTCTACTTTTATATTTTACTACAATTTATGATGGAGACTATTATACAATAGCATAAAAGTTGAAACAATAGGTGCTTTGACCTTATTGAAGCAAATTTTTTTGATAATTTTTCATTAAAAATTTTGAGGACTTTGATACAGCCCCACAAAATGTTTCAATTTAGACTAATCAGTATTTCTCAATGAAAAAATGTTCCATCAGAAAATATTCAACCAGTCTTACTCCACAATCAGACCCAAAGATTTTAAGACCAGATGGTGCCGCTAACATCATCTAATCTGACATGCTGCATAACATGGGACATAAATGGTGGCAGAGTCCAAATTATTATATTTATATTTCTGATACATAGATAGTTTTCTGCTGGAGACTGAGTTGGGTGGACTATTAATTAATACTTTGCCTGGTTAAATTGTTTTGCACTTGCTGGTGGAATTGTTCATGTGCAGAATTTACTCTGTATCAGGAAAATAATGGAATAAGGCAAGTACAAATCCCACCTACAATTTGGGAAAAGCCAGAAACTCCTCCTGTTCAATATTTTGAAGTATGAGAGAAAACAAAATACAAAAAAAAGTTAGGAGACAGTCTTTTTAGCACTATCATGAATGTAACTTCTAGCTGCTATGATTCCACTTGTAAATTGAGACAGATCTCCTCTCTGAAGCAGAAGCAGCTGCCATTATGTGTTCAGATCCAGGCTGCTATAGAGGTGACACAAACACTGTGCTCTCTCAGATGGAGACTTTCCATTTGTTGGTTCTTGTTTTGTTACTGACTTAATATAAAATAAAGTTCTTTTTGGTATACGATTGCTCTTTGGGTATGGAAAAACGAAACACACACTGCCCCAATTTGCTGTGCATATTTCTCAGCCTGTTAAATTTGGTTTCTCCTTTAAGAAGTGCCCCAGCCTAGTTCAAAGCCAACCAGATTTAGTGAAGCCCTTTGGCCCCCTCATATGTGTCAGCTCTGCAAGCTGCAGTCAGAGTGGTTTGAAACACAATGCAAACTAAACTGGGTAATTTAATTTAGAGTGGCAAGCAGCCATGGATATTCAGCCAATCAGATCACGCAGTTGGCTGAACATTCCAATTTCAAATGAGATATAGCATGACTTGTAGCAAAAAGAAAGAATCTTTCCATAATTCCTGTCATGGAGAGAGCTTTTCAAAATTATATATGAAAGGATTTTGAAGTAAACCATTTAAAGGAGGAAAAACTTTCAAACATGCCAGGCTAAGAATTCCAGTTTAATGCCATTTATTTGGGAATTTCCTTGTTTGTTTGTTTTTAATATTTAAAAATACATGAATACTAAACAAGGAGCCCAAAGAGATGTAACCATGTGATATTTCTAATAATTTGAAGATACGCAGTATCAACTTTATACCAGCAAAGAGTCCTGTGGCACCTTATAGACTAACAGACGTATTGGAGCATGAGCTTTCATGGGTGAATACCCACTTCGTCGGATGCATGTAGTGGAAATTTCCAGAGGCAGGTATAAATATACCTAGCCTGACTCACTCTTGCTTGCATATTTTTGTTAAGGGCAGCTGTAGTCTGAGTGCCCCTGAAGACAATGGAAGGTAGAACCCATTTTGAAAGTGTCCAGTCCTTCATGGAATTCTCTGGGAAGGACATTACGTGTCACAGAATCATAGACATGCAGAGCTGGAAGGGACCTCAAGAGGTCATCAAATCCAGTGCCCTCCTGCTGAGGCAG